TCTGTCTGGTGAGCGCACACGCCCTATAGCGAAAAACCTCTCCAAAAATAATAATAATAATAATAACAAATAAAAATACATGAATAATTATTTAAGGAAAAACAAAGAAATATCAATAATAACATTGAATGTTAACTTCCAGGACTTGAACAGAAAGATCGGACCACAGCAATGCTGCAAATTCAACAGGAGATTAATTACATAAGACTAAACTGGTGAAACAGAATTTTATGACTTTTGAGTAAAGCATTATTGATTTTTTTCTTTACTATGCTTTGTTTTCCCAATTTAAGGATTTTGTTTCCTTTTGAGCTGTTGATAGTTTCTGCAATTTGTTAAAATGCTTTTTCTTCTTGTTTGTTTCTTTAAATGGAAACATAAGCTTTTCTCCCTTCCTGACCCCTCTGGAATTGGAAAATAGTTGGGAGTATTCTTATTTTGTGGCAGAATGGTTATTTGCACAAGTTCAATAATACCTGTCTCCTTGAAACAGAAATTAGAAATACTCGTTATTGGACAGGTGTTTGACTAGAATGTCGTATCTGAAGATTAAACCAGAAAACTATGGAACTAAGGTGGATCTTGAGTAAGCCAGTAGAAGCTCTTGGAAAGATGGCCTGGCACTGTAAACAGTTCTGCCTGGCAGAGAGGATTAGAGAAGCTATATGGAAGAATTTGTACCATAAAATAACCTGGAGGTTTCCAGCCCAGCATTGTAGTCAGTAGAGACTGCAAAAGAGCAGCCACAACCAGAGGATTATCTTGAGGAAGATTTTGAAGGAAGAAAAAGAGACTGATCTTTGCTAGCAGCTGGCATACATGTCACAGAATACTTGGTAGGCAGGGCTGAAGGTTCATGCGTGAATTGTGTGCTGGATGTTTGCTCTTCAACATCTGAGCAGTTGACATAGATATATTTTCTCAAAAATATTTAAAACCATACTGTCTCTGCTGTTACAGGGTCACAAACAAAATGATAACAAATATTATCTTTAAAATTCAGTTTTTTTAAAGCTTGAAAGTTGTTTATTAACTGTCAAGAATTATGGAGTATGGGGACCAGCGGGTGGTGTGGTGGTTAAGGCGCTGGATGCTCCCACATGGCTGACCTCGGTTTAAGTCCAGGACCTGGTGGCTTGCTTTCTTACTTTCTTTCTCTCTCTCTGTCTCTGTGTGTCTCCCTGGTCAAATTAAAAATAAATGAATGAGTAAAGTTAAATAATTCTTTTTAAAAAATTATGGAGTATGAGCAAAAATTTTTGATATGTAAAGTAAATGTTTGTAGGAAAAGGTAAAAAAAAAAGATAAAAAAAAATTTAAATAATTTAATTTTGGGTTCACAAGTGGGTTTGGGGCACTAGGACAATATGGCCAACCACACTGCGATTTTGCTTTGTTGGGTATTTGACTTTTTTTTTTTGGAGGATTTTTATTTTTTTGCTATAGGGCGCGTGTGCTCGCCAGAAAGACAGAGAGAGACAGAGAGACAGAAAGCGAGAAATCACCCCCTAGGGGGGATGGCCACGCTGGAATCCCTTCTCCTCCATTCTCCTCTCAGGATCTTGGGCACGCACGCACACACGCTCGGCGTGAGTTTTAAGCCACCGGGTCCGGGACGCGAACCGCGGTCAACTACATGGGAGTCCAGCAACATAGCCATTACGCTAACTGCTGGTCCCTGAAGACGTTTTTGCTATAGGGCGCATGTGCTCACCAGACAGACAGAGAGAGACAGAGAGACAGAAAGTGAGAAATCACCCCCCGTGGGGATGGCCATGCCATGATCCCCTCTCCTCCATTCTCCTCTCGGGATTTTGGGCACACACGCACACATGCCCGGCGTGAGTTTTAAGCCACCGGGTCTGGGACGCGAACTGCAGCTGACTACACGGGACTCCAGCAACATAGCCATTATGCTAACTGCTGGTCCCTGGGTATTTGACATGTTTAAAGTGGAAATCAAGAATATGAAATAGGTCCACTGGTGAAATAGCAGCTAAGGCGACTGGATCCCGTATGGCTAACTGCCCAGCTTGAGTCCTGGACCCAGGGACTTGAACAACATGCTGTGTGTGTGTGTGTTTGCTCAAAATGCTGAGACGAGAATGGAGGAGGGACTATGGCACAGTCATCCTTCATGTCGCGTGCTTTCTCGTTCCTCGCCCCCTTCCCCCATTTCTCTGGTGAGTGCATACAGCCTATAACAAATTTAAAAATATGTATGTTTAAAAATATATTAAATAGGGACAGGTGGCGTGGTGGTTAAGGTGCTGGACTACCACATGGCCGACCATGGTATGAGTCCCAGACCTGGTGGCTCCCCTTTTCTCCACCTCTCTCCCTGTCTGTCTCTCTCTGGTGAGCACACATCCCCTATAGCAAACTTTTTTAAAGAATTATTTTATTGAACTTTTTTTTTTTAAATCCATTCATTTATTTTAATTTGACCAGAGAGGGACTGAGTGAGATGTGAGTGAGAGAGAGAGAAAGTGAGAAAGCAAACCGCTGGGTCTAGGACTTGACGTGTCGCTGGCCATGTGGGAGTCTAGTGCCCTTAATCACCACACCACCTGCCGGCCCCTTCTACGTCTTGCACCTATGATTCTGGTTTTGTTAAATGTGTCATGAATGGTCACTGCCTATAGGGGTGGATGGATGGGTGGATAAGTGCGTGAATAGATAAATAAATGAGCAAAGAATGGTCAAAAGTAAACTTCTCCCTAAGACTTCCTGGCTACCTATATTAAGTGAGTTCTCCCTTTAGCATCATCTATTTCACTCATTCGTTTATTCTGCCAACAGTGAATGAGCTCCTTTCCTACATGGCATTACTCTAGGCAGCGAAGGTACAGGCGAAAACACAGGGAAATCAACAGTACTGTAATGAAATTAGCAAGTCAGTGACATACAAGATTTCGGATGGTGCCGAGTACCACGAGTGTAAGAGAACAGGGTGACTGTCACAGGGTGAGGAGGAGGCCACCGTAAGAGGAAGAAGGCTTTTCCACTTTGATGACCTCTGAGCTGACACCCTGACAGAGGGAATAAGCTAGGTGAAGATCTGAGGAAAGAAGGAAAACAGAACGAAAGGCTAAAGAAAGCTCTCAGGATAGAAGCAGTCCTGGCAGGTTCCAGGAACAGATCCTTTACTCCTCAAAACTGGGTGCCTGAGACACTGGTCTCCCACTGTTTTCTTTTCATTATATTTTTGCCAGAGGGCATGTTTCTCCAGAGAGAGAGAGAGAGAGAGAGAGGAGAGAGTGAGAAAGTAAGAAAGCACCCACCAGGGAAAATGGCCACACTACAATCCATTCTTCTTCGGGATTTTGGGCACGCATGTACACGTACCAGGCGTGATCCTCAAACCGCCAGGTGTGGGACTTGAAACGCACACTTGACCATGTGGGAGATCTAGCCCTTAACCACCACACCACCCACTGTTTTCATCTCATAGATCTGGGCCTTGCTGCCCTAGCAAGACAGAAATAGCTGATCACTGGGCATGAGCTAGTTTACTATCCATAGAATCCACTGGGCTTTATATTCTGTCTTCCCTTCCATCCCGCCCATTGAAATTATAGTATTCAATTTCTTTTTCTTCCTTCTTTCCTTTCTTCTTTCTTTTCTTCCTTCCCTCTTTCTTTCTTTTTCTCTCTTTTTCTTTCTCTCTCTCTCCTTGCCAGAGGGCATGTATGCTCACCAGAGAATGATGGGGAGAGAGAGAGGGAAGGAGGGATTGAGAAAGCATCCTCCATTTCTCCATCCTGTTGAGATTTGGAGCTTTCAGGTACATACACCTGCCTGGCATGTTTTTCAAACCTTTGCATTGAGAATTTGAACTGCAGTTGGCTGCATGGGATCTGGCTCCATTCACTAAACAGCAATTTATTTTTAAAAAGGTTTATTTGTGGGCCAGCAAGTGATATAGAGGTTAAGGTGCTAGATCCCACATGGTGGCTGAAAATCATACTGGGGGAGCTGGCAAGTGGCATGGTGGTTAAGGGTGCTGGACTCCCACGTGGCCAACAGCAGTTCAGGTCCTGAACTTGGCAGCTTGCTTTCTCACTTTCCTTTTGTCTCTCTCTGCACCTCTCTGGTCAAATGAAATTAAATAAATAAAGTTAAATAAAATAACTTTATTTGGCACATGTGTCCAAAATCCCAGGAGGAGAATAAAGAAGGGAGTGCAGCATAGCTGTCCACACTGGGGATGATTTCTCACTTTCCTCTTTCTACATTTCTTTCTGGAAAACACACAGGCCCTAGAGCAAAACCAAAACCAAAACAAATTAAAAAGTTTATTTGTATATTTATTACATGAGAAAAAGAGGCAGAGACAGAGGTAGAGAAGCACTTCTACAAGGTCTCATGCTAGGATCCCAGCCTTCTCAGGAAGCCAGGATCATGGGCATGCTCACATGCACTCAGTGTGTACAGGTCGACCTGGGAACAGAACCCCAATCTATATGGCTCGAGTACCACAGAGTGATGCGTTACCCCCGGGTCACTGCAACTGAGCCTGTATTATTTGACTTCCACTAAGGAACGTAAGCCATTTAACTCACGTGTATGTATGCACTTAACACATTTACGTACATACACAGATTACTTATTCATATATACACACATATGCATGCTGTACATAGGTACACACACAGACACACACACACATGACTTGCTAAGTCACAAGGGTCTCTTGGCGGGTTGATCAGAAAGAAAAGTGGATGCACAAAATAGAAACATGACTCACTGTTGTGCCATCTGATGCAGTAGAAATGAATGAAGAAACTTGAGAATCCTGTCTTCAAGCCTAAAATAAACAGTGCCTCCCTCCACCAAGGCTGGATACAGGAGGAGAAAAGATAGGGTGGGAATACAGACGGAAAGAATAGAAATCATGAATTCATAAGGCCGATCCTGAAATGGTGGCACCATAGCCGGAAAGCAGCCAAGACCCGTAGATGGGTCTGAAATAGGAGTGGAATGAGCCAAGGACTTACCTTGGCCTTCAAAGTCGAGTCAGTGAAATGGGCCACAGGATACTTCTTGCTAGTCATCATGGGCACTTTGATCATAGAGCCCTTGTAGTAAAAGGGCTCTGACCTGGTTTTTTGGGTATCAAATGTTGTCTTCCACTTGGCTAGATGGAAGAGAAAGCAGCTTTAATGCAGGCAGGGCAGGGATGAAGAGGGGCTAAAAGCCCTGTGTCGGATGGAGGGGGAGGTAGGGAGGGATCCACTTGTAGAACTTGGAGTTGGGTGGACTTAGAAGCCAGGAGAAAAACAAGGACTCAGAATGGGAAGACTCCTTACCACTCAGGTAGATAGCGTTGAGAAGGACAAGGCGGACGTCAGAGGGCAGGCTGTCAAGCAGGTGGCTGATCTTGTGGTTGGTGTTCTCAGCCACCCAGGTGTTGATAAGCTCCAAGTTGGCATTGCTGTCATTGCCCAGGACTCTGGGGCTGCTGCCATACAGGCTCTGGGAGGTGTTCACAAAGGTGTCCTTTATGGGCAGGTCTGGGGAGGCAGGTCAAGAGAGGGAGGCATGAGGACCCTGAGCATCCCCAGCCCTTACAAAAGTAAGCTTTGCGAGTGACCTTGTCCCCCAGGGCTCTTTCTGCTCTCTCCAAGGAGCACAGTGTGTTGGAGCCAGGGTCCAGCCCACTCTTCTTACAGATGAGGCGAATGAGCCCCAGAGAGGGCAGCCCTGAACTAAGACCAGAGGACTATTCTGCGGCCCTCACTACATCTGCCTGCCACATAACCATGACTTGGCAAGATGATTCTGAGATGTGAATTTCTATTCATCTGTATTTTCTCTCTTTTCTTCCCTTAATTCAGCAGGGAACAGCCCCTGTGGAAGTTCATGACAAGCCTTCCTAGATTTTGCTCTCTAGAGCCCAGACCCTGAAGAAAACAGTATTCCAAAGAGAAGTTTTTCCTGACTAAATAATCAAAGCTATTTCTCCAGGTTTTGCTGATTCTTAAGTCCAGCATAAGACCCAGAACCTTGGCACAATCCTGGGGTGGGGGAGGCAGGAAACCCTAAAACTGTGAAGGCAACTATATTTTCCAGTAACCTATAAAGATAGAAGACTAAGTTCATTTATAGTAAGTAAATACATTTTTAAAAATAATTATTTATTTCATTTTATTTATTCATTCAATCATTTTCATTTGACCAGAGAAAGACAGACACACAGAGAGAAGGAGAGTGAAAAAGCAAGCCACCAAGTCTGGGACTCGAACTGTGGTCAGCCATGTGGGAGTGCCCAGTGCCTTAACCACGAGACCACCTGCTGGCCCAGTAAATACATTTCTTGACACCTCTGAGCCAACTTTCCTCCATATTTAAAAAGAGGGTGGGCCAGCAGGTTACCACCTGGTGGTTAAGGCACTGGACTCCCACATGGCCAACTGCAGTTCGAGTCCCAGATCTAGCAGCTTGCTTTCTTGCCTTCTCTCTCTCTCTCACATGCCCTGTAGCAAATTTAAATAATAATGAATAATTTTTAAAAAGAATTATTTTTCTTTAATTTTATTTATTCATTCATTTATTTTAAATTGACCAGACACAGAGAGAGAGAGAGGAAAAGTGAGAAAGCAAGCCATCAGGTCTGGGACTTGAACCATGGTTGGCCATGTGGGAGTGTCTAGCACCTTAACCACCACGCCACCTGCTGATCCCCAATACTAAATTATATCTATCTATCTATCTATCTATCTATCTATCTATCTATCTATCTATCTATCTAAAAGAGCATAGGGCCAAGGTCTACTGGTGGCCTAGTGATTAAGGCAGCTGGACCCCATATGGCTAACCACACAGTTTAAGTTCTGGACCCAGAGGCTTGAAAACATACCAGTGCCCAAAATCTTAAGAGGAGAATGGAGGAGAAGGAGTTATGGTATGGTCATACCCCTGGAGGATGCTTTCTCACTCTTTCTCTTTCTCCTCAGAAAGCGCATACACCCTATAGCAAATTAAAACAGACAGGGACCAGCAGTTGGCATAATGGCTATGTTGCTGGACTCCCATGTAGTCGCCTACGGTCTGAGTATCGGACCCAATGGCTTAAACTCATGCCGGGCACATGTGTGTGTGTGCCCAAGATCCTGAGAAGAGAATGGAGGAGAAGGAATTGCTGCGTGGCTATCCCCCCCAGGGGGTGATTTCTGACTTTCTGTCTCTCTGTCTCTCTCTTTCTGGTGAGCCCATGCACCCTATAGGAAAAATCTCTCCAAAAAAAAAATTAACAAACAATACAAAAAAAGGTGGGGCCAGCCTTGTAGCTTAGTAGTTAAGGCAGGCAGGTCCCACAAAACCAAGTGCACTTTGAATCCTGGCCCCAGTGACTTGAAAAAAAGAGAAAAAAGCACTGGATGTGTGTGCATATATGCCCAACATCTTGACAGTATGGAGAAACGGAGAAGGGTTGGCAGCATGACCACACCCCATTAGGGGGTGCTTTCTGCCCCCCACAGGCTTCCTCTGTTTCTCTCTGTAGAGCATGTACCTTCTGATAATAAAAATAAAAAATAAATAAGAGAGTGTTTTTTGTCTCAGTTTTTAAGAAATTATTGTTATTTTAAAAATTTGCCAGAAGATATGTACACTCATCAGACAGAGACAGCAAGAGAGAGAAAGTGAGAAACCACTCCCCCCGCCACACACACAGGAATGGTCACACCACAGTTCCTTCTCTTCCATTACTCCCTCCTTTCAGGAGTTTGGACACACACACACACACACACACACACACACACACACACACGTCTCTAGCGTGTTTCTCAAGCTGCTGGGTCCCAGACTCGAACCTCATGGCACAGGCATCTATAGGAGATCCAGCCATATCTATGACCACGCCATGGGCTGGTCCAAAAGAGGGTGCTTTTTTTTTTTTCTTTTTTATTTCTTTTACCTTTTTTTCTTTGGCTTCTTTGTACTTTCTCAGTTTTCTACAAAGAATGACTATTGCTCCCCCCCCCCCCCCCTATCACGTGGTTGCCCCCCCCCAAGAGAAAGTGAGAAATCATCCCCCGCCCCGGGGGGATGGCCATGCCACAATCCCTTCTCCACTCCTCTCTTTGGATTTTGGGCATACATGCATACACGTCTGGAGTGTTTTCCAAGCCACTGAGTCTGGGACTTGAACCACGCTGTTAGCCATGTGGGATCCAACACCTTAAACTCCATGCCACCGGATGGTTCCAAGTATTTATTTTACAATTAAGAAAAAAATAACAGCTGGGACCAGCAGTTAGCGTAATGGCTATGTCGTTGGACTCCCACATAGTCGACCACAGTTCGAGTCCTGAACCCGTTGGCTTAAAACTCACGCCAGGCGCGTGTGCATGCATGCCCAAAATCCCGAGAGGAGAATGGAGGAGCTGGGATTTCAGCGTGGCCATTCCCCCTGGGGGGTGATTTCTCGCTTTCTGTCTCTCTGTCTCTCTCTGTCTGTCTGGCGAGCGCACGCGCTCTATAGCAAAAACCTCTCAAAAACAAAAAACAAAACAAAACAACAGCAAAAAAATGTTTTCCTTTTCTTTAAAAATATATAGTTTCAAACCTTTTAAAACAGCATCACTGTGTTTTCAAATAAAGTCATGTCTGAATCCCACAATACCAGCTCTGGTGAAGCTGAGCAAGAGCTCAGAGCCCAGCAGGCTCATCTCCCCCTTGTAGGAAGTGGTACCCACACTCCACCACTCAGCCTTCCTAATATGTACCTCCACCATGATCCCTGAAGCACCTCTAAAGAACTAGGGCTCTGGGGAACCAAACTGTGACATGATTACAACAGATCATTTAGAAGTTTATTATGATGATGATTACTTGTTGCTGTCATTACCCACTTAATATCATAGTACATGTAAATGAAATAAATTCAAATAACACAGAAGTACAAAGAATGAGAGTCCCAAGACTTCCCTAACCTAAAGATAGCAAAATTTATTTGAGTCCATTAAAAAAAGTTACTAGGTGACATGGTTAAGAGCACTGGACTCCCACATGTGGTTCGAGTCCTAGACCTGGTGGCTTGCTTTCTCACTTTCTTTTTCTCACTCTGTTCCAATTAAAATAAATAAGGTTAAATAAAATAATTCTTTTTAAAAAAAAGTTATTGGGCTAGTCCCATAGCCTCGTGGTTAGGGAGCTGGACCTCTACGTGGCCATCTGTAGCTTGAATCCCAGCTCTGGTAACTTGAAAAACATCCTGGGCATGTATATACGCATGCCCAAAATTCTGACAGAAAGGAGAAATGGACGTTAGTGTGACCATGCCTCATTGAGGGGGGTGAGTGCTTTCTTTCTGGCAAGAATATGTGCCCTCTGGCAATAAAATAAATAAATTTATGTGTTTATTTATTTATATCTTCCATGAGAGAGAGACCCTACAGGATCTTTTTTATTTAAATTTATTTATTTTTTGTTTTATTTTATTTTATTTTATTTTAGGAGAGGTTTTTGCTATAGGGCATGTGCGCTCGCCAGACAGAGAGACACAGAGAGACAGAAAGCGAGAAATCACCCCCCAAGGGGGATGGCCACACCGCAATCCCTTCTCCTCCCTTCTCCTCTCAGGATCTTGGGCAGGCACGCACGCACATGCGCCCAGCGTGAGTTTTAAGCCACTGGGTCCTGGACGCAAACCGTGGTCGACTACGTGGGAGTCCAGCGACATAGCCATTATGCTAACTGCTGATCCCCCCTACAAGATCTTCACAATGCAATTCACCCCCAGCCTTAGCCAGTTAGGACGACAAGCGTGCATGCCCAGCATATACAGGGATATCTCAGGACATGCATCCAGGACCTTCCTATACGGCATCAGCATTGCACAAAGCATCTGTCACCCCTGTGCCACCACAACTGGCCATATTATTGCCCATTTGCTGTCTATAGCTTTCTAGCCCTGTTTATTAATGAATACACCAGGCATTCTTACTCTAAGAGGGGTTGATGAATGTAAATGATTTCTCAAGTTTTCACTAGAACAGTCCTGCTCAGAAGCCACCCGATACTTCTGCCAAGACTCTCCACCTTTTCCCCTGTCCTCTCTTCCCCAGTGCTAGGATCCCCTTCAAAATCCTCTCAGGACACTCCTCTGCAGCTGCTGTCCCTCCCCAAGGACTCACCTGGGCTGTGGAAGATCTGAGACACTGAGGTGAAGCCTTTGGACTTGAAGGCCTTCAGGGCCTGGTGGACACAGGCAAAGTCCTTGGGGTATGAGAGGACGTTCTCCAGGTTCCTCTTGGTGCTCTCTCCAGCCCCTACAATGAAGGGCAGAAATGAAGGGCTCTTGCAGGAGGACTGGGGGACCCATTTGGGACAAGGGAACAGGCTGGAATGGAAAATGTAAGGTGTACCCTGTTATAAAGGGAATCACAACTCATCAGAGTTAGACGTGTACTTTTGGAAGGTAATGCCCATGTCAGAAAGACAGGAGTGAGAGGGACCAGCAGTTAGCGTAATGGCTATGTCACTGGACTCCCATGTAGTCGACCGTTGCTCAAGTCCTGGATCCGGTGGCTTAAAACTCACACCGGGAGCGTGTGCGTGTGTGCCCAAGGTCCCCAGGGGAGAATGGAGGAGAAGGGATTGCAGCATGGCCACCCCTCCTGGGGGGTGATTTCTCACCTTTTGTCTCTCTGTCTCTCTCTGTCTGTCTGGCGAGTGCATGTGCCCTATAGGGGCAAAAACCTCTCCAAAATAAATAAATAAATAGAAAAGATAGGAGTGAGAGAATTATGAGTAATTACCAAGTCAGGCTTTTCCAGTGCACTGAATACACTTCTCTGTTTCTCTACCTATTTAAATCACACACATCTTTCAGCACTAGGTCCAACCACTGTCTGTTCACATGAACTATTATAGGCAGGGCATTTCTAATCTGAAAATCTGAAATGCTACAAAATCTGAAACTTTCTGAGTGCCAGCATGATACCATAAGTGGAAAATTCTAGACCTGACCTCATGTAATAGGTCACCATCAAAACACGGCAATACAAAAATATTGCATAAACGGGGCCAGCAGGTAGTATGGTGGTGAAGGCACTGGACTCCCACATGGCCAACTGTGGTTCAAGTCCTGGACCTGGTGGCTTGAAAATCACACTGGCCTATGTGCATATGTGCCCAAATCCCAGGAGAATGGAGAAGAAGGGACTGTGATTCTCATCCCCTTCAGGGGTGATTTCTCACTTTCTCTCTCACTGTCTCTCTCTGGGGAGCACACACAACTTATGACAACCCCCCCCCAAAATAAACAAACAAACAAACAAACAAAAAAACGACTGAAACCAATTGCCTAGAATGTACCTCCTGGGAAATATTTGGCCATGTCTGGAGACAGTCTGGTTGATCTAACTGGGGAACGAGATGCTGCTTGTATATAGTGAGAGGTTAGGGTTCTGGGACACCAGAAGAAAGGTTCTTATTGCTTACCATATTGTCTCTGGTAGGCTTCTAGAATTCCCCTTTGGAGTGATGGCTCTCTCTCCACTGCTTATAGTAATTTGTTGGTGCCATTCTTTGGACAATTAACCCACAGGATTTGATAGTAATCCCTCAGGAAGGCAGAGAGATTAACATTTTTCCTGATCTCCTACCTAGTCAAGCACTAGGCCCTCTGCATCATAATCTTTTGGGGTAGATACCACCCTCCCTATTTTATACTTGAGGACTCAGGCCCAGAGAGGCTAAGTCATCTGACTAAAGATGCACAGCTAGAAAGCAGCGTTACTACAATTCTGCTTGAGGTTTATTTCTGAAGATTTCATCTCCCTTCTCACCTTACTTTGCCTTAAATCGTGGAAGGTGGTTGTGACCTTGTTCTCTATGTTCCCGTATAGTCCACAGAGTTTTACAAGCAATAGTGCTTATAATTGTTAAAGTAATGTTCAAGAATGAAAAGATACACCACCCCACCAACCCCATATGTAGCCCATGTTTACAGCATCCTCCTAGAGGCAAAGTTTTGTAGGTGTCTAGTTTGTTGGGCTTCAGAGAATTTCCAACATGCTACCTGGAACAAATTCAGTGAGGGTCTTACCAAGCAGGACCTGGGTGAGGAGGCTGGCAATGCTGAGTGGGGAGAAGGCCATGTTGGTCTCAGGCTTCTTCATGGCTGAGAACGCATGGTAGAGCTTCAGGGAGAAATCTACCAAAGCCTCTCCCAGTATGGCCTCTGCTGACTGCTTCTCCAAGTCAGAGCAGAGAGTGTCAGGCCCGGGACAGAAGGGCTCAGTGGTGGGCTGGGTGGTAGGCTGGGTGGTGGGCCGGATGGTGAGCTGGGAAGTAGGCTGTGTAGAGGGCTGGGTAGTGTGTTCTGTGGTGGAGTTAGCTGTTCTTTTGGTGGTTGTGCTGATTGTTGAATTGGTTGTCGAGTTCTTTGTCAAGGAAGATTCCTTGATGTGTTGACTAGATAGATTCTTGGAGATACTTCCCTCTAAGGTGTGGCCCTTGCTCCCTCCTTCCGGGCTCTCTGAATCCCTGAAGCCATGGCCGGTCACATCCAATTTCGAGGAGGCTCCATCCTACGGTTCAAGAAACTAAGTTTCATTTTTCTTACTATGAGGCACAGTCTTCTCAAACATTCAAAGCAGGAAGAGAAGGTGGCGATATACAAAACCTTCTATACCAGAGAGTAATTTCTGGGTGAGGCGTCTGCCCTAAGACTACCACACAATCCTTCAGAGAAGGCGCAATGGGGGGAAGCTGGGGAGTGGCAAGGATAATCTCTGTAGATAAGGGGTAGTCAAAGACCAATTATTTGGGCTGGCAGGTGGCGTGGTGGTTAAGGGTGCTGGACTTCCACATGGGTGACCACAGTTCAAGTCCTGGACGTGGTGGCTTGCTTTCTCACTTTCTCTCTCTCACCAAATTAAAAAATAAAAAAAGCAAATAAAATAAATAAAAAGTTAAATAATTCAAAAAAAAAAAGGACCAATTATTGCCACGTAGGAAGTTGTTTTCCAAATATTGCAACAGAATGTTAGGTGCCATGATCTATGTTGTTGCAACTTCTTATAAAAATATCTGCCTGGGACCAGCAGTTAGCGTAATGGCTATGTCGCTGGACTCCCACGTAGTCAACCGCGGTTCACGTCCCAGACCCGGTGGCTTAAAACTCACACCGGGTGCGTGTGCGTGCGTGCCCAAGATCCCGAGAGGAGAAGGGAGGAGAAGGGATTGCGGCATGGCCATCCCCCCTGGGGGGTGATTTCTCGCTTTCTGTCTCTCTGTCTCTTCTGTCTCCCTGGCGAGTCCACACGCCCTATAGCGAAAACCTCTCAAAAAAATATATATATATATATCTGCCTGTCTTGACTCACTTGCTTGGCCAGTGTACACATGGGAACTTGTGGTCCTAGCTTTAGAACACTGGATTTTCAAATTGGATTGTGACCCATTAGCTGGTGTTGAAATAATCAACATCCCAAAGAAAGAAAGGAAGGGAGGGAAGAAAAAGGGAGAGAGAAATAGTATAGACCAGTGGCTCTTAGACAATTGTGACTCCAAAGGGCTATTTAGAAAATCTTGGAGGGACCAGCAGTTAACGTAATGGCCATGTTGCTAAACTCCCACGTAGTCAACCACGATTCAAGTCCCGGATCTGGTGGCTTAAACTCACGCCAGGTGCATGTGCTTGCCCAAGATCCCAAGAGGAGAATGGAGAAGGGATTGCGGTGTTGCCATCCCCCCCCCCCCCTGGGGGATTTCTCACTTTCTGTCTCTCTGTGTCTCTCTGTCTTTCCGGCAAGTGCACACGCCCTATAGCAAAAACTTCTCCAGAAAGAAAAGAAAGGCTTGGAGGGACCAGCAGATGGCGTAATGGTTACATCACCGGACTCCCAGTAGCGGACTGCCATTTGAGTCCCGGAGTGAGTGGCTTAAAACTCACGATGGGCGCGTGTGCGTGTGTGCCCAAGATCGAAAGAGGAGAATAGAGGAGAAGGGACTGCAGCGTGGCCATCCCCCGTGTGGGGGTTGATTTTTTGTTTTATGTCTCTCTGTCTCTCCAGCAAGAGCATGCACTCTATAGCAAAAATCTCTTAAAAATCTCTCCCTTAAAGAAAGAAAGAAAGAAAGAAAGAAAGAAAGAAAGAAAGAAAGAAAGAAAGAAAGAAAGAAATGTCTGGAGGCATTTTTGGTCATCATGAGGGAAGGAAGTATTACGATGCTCCTGGAGTTTAGTGGGTAGAACCCATAAGACTGCCAACATGCCATGGTGTACAGGTCGGCACCTCAGCAATGCACTATGCAGCTCCAAATGTTAATAGCTCCTCCCAGGGCAAACCTTGTTATCCCCATTTTCCAGACAGAAACGAATGCTGAGACAGGTTAAGTAGCCCAGCATCTCACGGAAGCAGGAGGAAAAGCTTGAAGTTGAACCCAGGCCTGGAATTTCAGAGCTCTGCTCAAATGTACATGAAGTGCCACATCTCAAAAGGCACTTCTGACACCCACCTCCACACACATGACACACACGTGCACATGCACGCCTGACCTCTCAGACCCTGAGTCCTCTCCCTGCTACCATTCCTCGCCAGTTTTCATAGGCTCCCCCTGAAAGCGCCTGCCTGCCTCACCACCGCCAACCCCCTGCTCCCACAATGCTGTTTTTCTACAGCGACTCCTTGCTCTTAGGTTATGAAATGTTGCCGGCAGGTGGCATGGCGGTTGAGGCGCTGGACCCCCACACGGAGAACTACGGTTCAAGTCCTGGACCCGGTGGATTGCTTTCGCAGTCTCTCCTCAAATAAGTAATTCTAAAAACAAAACAAAAAACAAAACATCTTGCTCTCTGTCATCTTCCTGCCAAGCCCATGGCGGGGGGGGGGGATTTTCCATTTCATATATCAGGACAAGTGTGCTGGGAAGTGACTTGCTCAAGGCCACACATCTAGTCTGCCGTCCGTCCAAATTCGGACCTGCGTTCTGCGTCGCGAGTTCTTTCCACGCTCTATGAATGCGGGCGCATGGAGCTCCCGCGCTGATCCCAGCAGCAGCAGCTCTCCTCATTCTCCGGAGCCTGGAGGGTTAATCCTCTACTCCCACCTCGACCCTCCCCTACCTCCCGAAGGGGCCACTCCCCCCAGCCAGCAGCAGCAGCAGGAGGGTCAGCGAGGTCAGCCTGGAGGCCATCTGGACGGCGACGTCAGCCGGGACCTGTGGAACCAGCCAGCGTTGGAGCCAGCCCCGACACCAGCGCCAAAGCCAAAGCCTGGAGCTCAGCCCTGGAGCCCAGGGGACCTCCACCCCGCCCCCGGGCCCTCCCCCATTCCCTTCCAGGCGGGAGTGGGTCTCTGGGAATCCCTCCTCCTCCTTCGCGGGCCACCTTCTCCCTGGCTCCGCCCTCTGTTTTGTTTTCCCCAAACCGCTTCCCCTTCCCGGCAGCGGCTGACTCTTCCAGTCCCTCTCAGCCGGGGTCTCAGTCCATCTGTTCAATCCTGGGGGACGGGGTCCTGCTTCAGCCACACAATGAGGCACACGCACGGGGACCAGGAGGTCCAGAGAGGGCTGGGGCAGGAGGAGGGAGAGGAGGAGAGAGGAGGAGAAGATAGAGGCAGCGGAGGAGGCATAAGTCCCCGAGGAAGCAAACGTAGACTGCAGAGAGAACAGCGGCAGGAAGCTGGGGAGGGAAGGGTGAGAGGTGAGGAGAGCTCCCCCCACCCACCCACCCAGCCTCCTCTCGGGGCTGCGCACCCGCTACCCCCAGCATCAAACCTGCTGCAACTTCGGGTCACCGGGCAGCTTCGGCGCTGACTGAGCGGAGTCCCGCGGGGTCAGGGAGGGTGGGGTGTGGGGGGGCAGTCTTAGCTATTGGCTGGCCCGGGACACTGCCCAGTTACAGATTAAGGATGATTGATCGCTGGTGCGAGTTCCTGTAAATCAGGATGGGACTGTACTAGGCCAGGAATTTAGCCCCAAGACCCTCAGGAGTGGGGTGTGGGCGGAGTTGGGGGGAAGCGTGGGTTTTGCTCTCTGCTGTGCAAACCAGAGCTCGCTCTTCATCTTCATGGTCCTGGTGACGGCACAGACAGAGACAGTCGCAGTCTGCTAGGAATGAGCTTTTCCGGGGAACTGCTCGCCTCACTTGATCCTCAAAGTAACCCTTTGGAAATAGGCTCCACTGTGCCCATTTGATAGTTAAGAAACCCACCGAAGAGCAGTTAAATTCCTGGCCCATCGTCTTCCCCTTCACTTTGCCATGAGGCTGGGCTGAGACCCAAGTCTTCCCAAGTCCTAACCTCTGTGCTGGTTTCTGGCGGACACACGTCCTCGGGGACTGCCTTCGGGTAAAAGATTGGGAATCTGAGGTCTCAGCCCAGCAGGCATTCCCCTTGCTGAAGACTGAGCTGGACTGGGCAGCATGCCGCTGGAGTACCACGATAGACCTGGCCGTGCCACTCTGCTGTGAGACCCCAGGAAATTTGTTTTCTCCTTTGGCACGCCCTCTGTCATCTGAGGGTTGCTCGATCAAATGCAGAAAGCCCTGGGGCCAGTGGCTGGCATGAAGGTTAAGGCACTGGACTCCCACATGGCTGACTGTGGTTTGAATCCTGGACCTGGTGGCTTACTTTCTCACTTTCCTTCTCTCTCTCGCTTTCTTGCTCTCTCTGTCTCTCTCTGGTCAAATTTAAATTAATAAATAAATGAAGTTAAATAAAAATAATTCTTTCTTTCTTTTTTTTTTTTTTTGGAGAGGTTTTTGCTACAGGGCAGGTGCATTCGCCAGAAAGACAGAGAGACAGAGAGACAGAAAGTGAGAAATCACCCCCCAGCAGGGATGGCCATGTTGCAATCCCTTCTTCTCCATTCTCCTCTTGGGATCTTGGGCACGTGCCAAGGGTGAGTTTAAGCCATCGGGTCCAGGACTCGAACCATGATTGACTGCATATGCAGTTGGCATAATGGCTATGTCGCTGGGCTCCCATGTAGTCGACTGCGGTTCGAGTCCCAGTCCTGGTGACTTAAACTCACACTGGGCGCGTATGCGTGCATGCTCAAGATCCCGAGAGGAGAATGGAGGAGAAGGGATTGTGTCTTGGCCACACACACACACACACACACACACACACCCGGGGGAGAGGGATTTCTCGCTTTCTGTCTCTTTATCTCTCTCTCTGTCTTTCTGGCGAACACACATGCCCTATAGCAAAAACCTCTCAGAAAATAAATAAATAAATAAATAAATAAATAAATAAATGAAAAAGAAAGCCTTGGACACTAGAGCTCAGTCCTCTCTCTGCAGCTGTTTGGGAAATACCATTCTAGGGAGATAAATTTTTCTTTGACTTCTTATTTACTTTGGATCAAAGCCCAGAGTCTGTAATGTCAGATGCTGACCTGCCAAAAATAGGCAAGATGCGAACGGGTTTTGTCTGGTGGAGATGGGAATAAAATGGAAAGAGATGCTAATGGTAACTACAAGGGTAGTGGCCTTACTGCCTAGTAGGCGGGAGCCAGTTTTGTAGATAATTTACTTTTTCACTGAGTACACACACACACACACACACACACACACACACAATTTCTTCCACCATTTTGCGAACGAGCTTTGTCATTCTGATGATTGTCTCATGAATGTTCACATCATGTATTGGTATGAGAATGATGTTTCTGCCATTTTGAGAATTACGTTTTATTATTATTATTTATTCATTTATTTATTTTAATTTGACTGGAGAGAGAGACACAGAGAGAGGGAAGGTGAGAAAGCAAGCCGCCAGGTCCAGGACTTGAACTGTGGTCGGCCATGTGGGAGTATCCAGTGCTTTAACCAGCACGCCACCTGCTGGTCCCCGAGAATTACGTTTTGACACACCCTTTTGTGGGGTTATTGATGGTTTGTAAATAAACATGGATCACCAGCTGACTCTTATCTCTTATTCTTACCAATATCATCCTCACTGGGGAAGGGTATGGGTTCGGCAGACCTGCTGCCACTGTGCCCTCGACATCTTCACTCACCCGTTGTCCTGACTCACATAGGCTCTGCTCAACTCTCCAGGAACCGAACCTTTCTCGGAACCTCACTGGCGCGTTCTCCTTCAGAGCACCCTTCCACCAAAGATCCACTTCTCTTCATCTCCCTTTCTTTTCTTTTCTTTCTTCTTCTTTTTTTTTTTTGAATCATTTAATTTTATTTATTCATTCATTTATTTTAATTTGACCAGAGAGAAAGAGAAGAGAATTTTTCCAACCCATCAGGTTGGGTACTAAAATGGAGGTCAGCCATGTGGGAGTGTCCAGCAACTTAACCACCACACCACCTGCTGGTCCCTCTTCATCTTCCTTTCAGTCTTCAGCTGGTACAAGGAGGTGGATGGGGATGACAAACAAACAGATGGGGGTTAGCCATAAATAATATTGAGATCCAAGCATCCCAAATCTTTTTATGAAGATCCTAGAAGGCGCAGGAATGTGAATCATTTCAGAGTAGAAGAGAAACATTTGATGCTTCTTTATAGATGTTCTAAATTGCTTCAATCATTTATTTATCTAAGGGCATTGTAAATTACTCTTTCAAAGACTACAGTGTTATAAATGTGCTTTGTAGAAATTTTCAAACAGTTCAATTATAAACTAAAAGTTGTTGCAGATGGGGCCAACGGGTGGCGTGGTGATTAAAACACTGGACTCCCACATGGCTGACTGCAGTTCGCATCCCAGACCTAGCAGCTTGCTTTCTCACTCCCCTTGCTTTTGCTCTCACTCTTGCTCTCTGTCTCTCTCTGGTGCGTGCACGTGCCCTATAGCTAATTTTTTTTTTTTGGAGAGGTTTTTGCTATAGGGCTCATGCACTCGCCAGACAGACAGAGAGAGACAGAGAGACAGAAAGCGAGAAATCACCCCCCAGGGGGGATGGCCACGCCGCAATCCCTTCTCCTCCATTCTCCTTTTGGGATCTTGGGCATGCACGCACATGTACCCAGCATGAGTTTAAGCCACCGGGTCCAGGACTCGAACTGCAGTCGACTACATGGGAGTCCAGCAACATAGCCATTACGCTAACTGCTGGTCCTCCTATAGCTAATTTTTAAAAATGGCAATAACAAGAAATAAAATTAAGTAAATACTTTTTTTAAAAAAAGTTATGGCAGACACACTGCTATTAATAATTCTAAGTGTATCATTCCAGACTCTCTCCTCTATTTATACAATCTTACATGCCTCGCCCACATACACACAGCATTTTTACTTTTCCATAATTTCTTTTCTTACTTAATAAAGTATCATGAGCATTGTTCCATGTCCCTAGCAGGTGGCTCTAACAGCTGTATAGTGTTCTATTGGATGGATGTATTACAGACATTTTTTTTTTTTTTAAGAGTTTTTTGCCTTATGGCACATGTACTTACTGGAGAGAGAAAGAGAGAAAGACAGAGACAGTGAGAGGGAAAGCGAGAAATCACTCCACAGCGGGGTTGACCACGGAGCAATCCCGTCTCCACTCTCCTCCTGGGATCTTGGGCGCGCATGGTTATGCACCCAGTGTTATCTTCAAGCCACGAGGTCTGGGACTTGAGCCACAGTTGGCCATGGGAGACTCCAGCGATGTAACCGCTGGCCCTTCTTTTTTCTTTAAATGCATCTATCGATTTATTCCGTGAGTGCTAGAGACAGAGAGAGACACAGAGATAGAGACAGGCTTCTTACTAGGGTCCTGATGCTGCAGTCCACTCCGGCCGTCAGCTAACCCTAGGTCATGGGCAAATATGTGCCCACTTCACCCAGGGAATTCTCCAGACATGAACTAGGCACCTTCTTGTATAAACACTTTCTTTGATCTCACACTGGGAGACATTTGAGCTGATGTGCAAACTGCATCCTAGTTCCAGAAGGTTCCTTCTTACTTGCCCACATTTTTTTTTTTTTTGGAGAGCTTTTTGCTATAGGGCATGTGCGCTTTCCAGAAAGACAGAGAGAGACAGAGAGACAGAAAGAGAGAAATCACCCCCCAGGGGGGATGGTCACATCACAATCCCTTCTCCTCCATTCTCCTCTCGGGATCTTGGGCACGCACACACACGCGCCCAGCGTGAGTTTAAGCCACTGGGTCTGGGACTTGAACCACGGTCGACTACATGGGAGTTCAGTGACATAGCCATTACGCTAACTACTGGTCCCTTTACTTGCCCACTTTTAAACATCTCCTTCAGCAGCTTACCTGGCTTCTTTTCTCAGCCTCCTTTCAGTTTCTGACCTTTGTCTCCAGCTCTGCTGCCACCTCTTTTGGATAGAGAGCCCAGGTTTGAACTGTTTACTCAGCTGTGAATCTAGTTCCCTTCCGACTGTGATCTGCTTTTTCTTTTTTTAATTTTATTTATTCATTCATTTTATTTTAATTTGATAAGAGAGAGACAGAGAGATAAAGAGAGGGAAAGTGAGAAAGCAAGCCACTAGGCCCAGGACTTGAACCGTGGTCAACCCTATAGAAGTCCAGCACTTTAACCACTATGCCACCTGCTGGCCTCAAATTAATTAATTCTTAGAGAAAAAAAAAAATCGCTCTTCAGGGATTATAATATGAAGACCCTGTTGGGAGTACCTGTCTCTGTATCTCTCTCTTTGTTCCTCTTTCTCTCATGGAAGAAGTCAACAAACTTAAAAATTATCTCAACGGGAGCTTGGGCACGCATGCACACGCACCCGGCGTGAGTTTAAGCCACCGGGTCCGAGACTTGAACTGCGGTCGACTACATGGGAGTCCAGCGACATAGCCATTACGATAACTGCTGGTCCCATGACCTGCTATTTTTGCTTCCATGTACCGAGGGTGAAATTGAGTGCCCTGGTTCCAGGAAAGCCGTCTAACCTGGTT